ATGTCTTTAAAGAATCTAGCACAATATCTGGCAAACACTTTTTGTCTGATCACTTTTGGTTCTGTACTTGTACTCTGCCTGTGTCCATTCTGGTAATGAACAATAAATTTGATTGATGAAAGTTGGTGGGTGGAGGTAGAAGAGGGTAAAGGGGCAGTAAATGGTGACAGGAGGAGACTTGACTTTGGGTGGTGAACACACAATACAATATACAGGCGATGTATTATAGGATTGTACACCTGAAACCTATTTTTATTAACCAGTGTCACCCCAGTAAATTCAGTACAATTTTTTAAAGAAGAAAAATTAATTTGATGGATGGATGGATTTATTGATTCCATGGTCTGCAGTTCATAATGGCTTTCCAGAACATTTTGAAATGCAAGTGGCATTCACAGAAGCCTGCTCTTGGTAATCGTGACACTTGACATTTTTTTCTTTTGTACCTGATGTTTTTAGATCCTTGATTTTAACTGTACTACAACCTGTGCAATAAGGCTAGGCAGATATGATGATCCTCTATGACAGGTGGGAGTTTCATTTTTGGAGTGAACTAAATTGGAATTCTTAAGAGGCAATCATTGAATTTGTATAGGTCAAGTCTGAATGAATTACATGGCTTATGTAATACTGAAGTTCTTTTGGCCTGAAATTTTTAGTTGATAGAGTAGTGCAAAGGGAATTCTTCTATTCCATGGCTTAAGGATACATAAACTCTCAATGCAGCAATCTTTTTATTGTTGATTATTATAGCTTCTGTTACTCCTAAAAGTTGGCCAACAGGGACCTGAGTTTAGGAGATTTTGTCATTCAGCTTTCATAAAGTAAATGCTGAGGCTAGCCCTTTGCCTGCAGGGCCCTCTATCAGTGAAGAGGAACTGTGACTTCTTTCTAGGCAGCCAAGTTCGGGGAGGAGTCAAGATTTTTAGTGTTCTCTAAAAATGAATTCCTGCTGTTGAACCTGATGGGCATTAGACACTGTGTTCTCCTGGAAGCACTGGAGGACCTTTGTCACAACATTTCAGTCCTTTTCTCATTCTTTTAAGTAGTAGAAAACCAGTTCCAGCATTTCAAAAAATACTGTGTCTGCTTTTTAAAAACTGGTAAACACATTCAATTGGGTAACATGTCAGTTGTAATGCATTATTATAGTCTTCAGCTTTCTTTGATTTTGCAAAAAAGAGTTAATTGGGGTGAAGTTAAGTAGGAAATGAACTCAAGAAGCCAGTGTGTGCTGTGTATGGATTTGTGTAGGATGGAGGTACATGTATGATCCAAACTTTGTGGTAGCTTTTGAGATTGCATTGGAGAAACATTTTAGGAATTCATAAGTTCTTTAACAATTTATACAAGTTAAGTATTTAAACATGACAGTGTAGTTGCTGGATTGCAGCTTAGTTTAGAACTTGATTTTTTTTTTTTAAAATATATATTGATTTCAGAGAGAGAGAAGGAGAGGGAGAGAGAGAGATAGAAACATCAATGATGAAAGAGTCATTGATCGAGCCCGCAACCTGGGCATGTACCCTGACCAGGAATCGAATCCCGATCTCCTGGATCCTAGGTTGACGCTCAACCGCTGAGCCATGCCCAGCCAGGCTGATTTTTTTTTAATTAAAATTTTTTTTTAAGTTTATAAAGCCTTAGGAATTTAAATATAATTTGCAAGGAGAAACAAACTTTTGCAGCCCAAACTTTAAGTAGAAAACTGTGTATGATTTTTGGGCATTTTAAAGGGGATAATTTATTAAAATTTAAGGACAGAAAAATTTTACATCTTTGTCAGAAATTGACCAATTAGGATGGCCCTGAAATATAGGGTGGGCAAATGTAGGTTTACAGTTGTTCATGAATTGAAAATAATACAATAATTAATAAGTAATAATACAAGAATAAACCCTGTTTCATGTACTCACAACTATAAACCTACTTTTGCCCCACACTGTATAGAACATATAAGAATAGTAGCCACAATGCCAATACTTTTCACTTTGTTATTTATTGTCCAAATTTCCTTAGATTTTTTTCCCCTTCTGTAGAAAATGCTCCTAGATGTGAAGATTAGAAGGAAAAAAGAAGTAGAAGCTATAGCCTATTCCATTAATTTTGTAATTATATTTTCCCCCTCAATGTTTTTAAGTGCCATTTACCAGTATGGGTAAGATTAATTCTTACAATACAAACCAATTTGAAAATTGGTTATTAAATTGAGCTATAATATATAAAATCTTATGGTAATGTGCAGATCTGACTATATTCAAGTGCAGTTTTCATACCCACACCAATTGTCTTGTAATAATCGGGAATGTATCCTCTGTGTGGTGTTTACAAGTTAATGCTATTTTAGAAATCACACCAGTATATCTAGTGGCTTTCCTGGGTGTATGTGGCTCATTATTGATTATAATTTTAATTTGAAATTTTAGTTTAAGGGGGTGGGTGAGCCCTTTCAAATTCTTAGTTGTTAGGAGTTTTGATGGAAAATAGGGATGAGTTAATGAGGAAGAATATTAGAATGATTTATAGTAAGGAAAGTCAGGTGATAATTAAGCAAATACATACTGCAAAAATAACACAGGATCTAATATAAAATGGAGACAAACATTCAAAAGAGGAATGCCTTAAAAGCTTACAAAGGAACATTCACAAATACAAGTAAATATGCATAATTTAATAAAAAGAGGAGACTTATGCAGATGGCCTCAATATGGCTAAAAGTGTTTGAGCCACCTTCCTCTTGAGAAGGGAATGGGGAGGAGTGACAAGTTATCTTTCGGTGCCTACTCCATTTTCTTACATTATTATTTTTTCTTCTTCTGTATTGCATTCTCCCTTTTTATATACTCTTCTTCCTCTTCCACTTTTCCCAAATTCAGCCCCTCCTTCAAAATGAGACTTTCTTCTCTCCAGGACACACAGAACTAATTGCTTAAGAATGTGTACATTGTCTCTCATGAACAATGAGAGAAACTAACAACAAGCTTCTTTTACATTAAGGAATTTAAAAGAATTTAAGATTGAAAGTGTCACTTGAATGTAAAGGATTTTCATCTCCTTTGTACATTGTTCTATCCCTAATTATCTAGAACAGTGCCTAGAACAAGGAAGATGCTCAATAAATACTTGTTGAATAAATGATTAAAACATTACTTAGAAATATTTAATTTCATTTACTTACAAAAATTACTTCAGTGAAGAACTTGATGATTGTAAGTCAAAGGTAAGGGGGTAAGATGGGTATTTGAAAAAAATATCAAGGTGGTTAATTAGCTAGAGTGCTAGGCCAATTGGAAGGACAGAGAAGATTAATTAATGTAGACAGTGAGGAAAGGTCAGATTAATAGAGTGCTTGGATTTCATACAGTAGATACAGGGAGCTATTATGAATTAATGATGAGAGTGACATGATAACAGTGTGAACACAGTTATTCTATTTAGCTGCTCTTTGTAAAATGGGTTGTAGCTTGAGGTGAAGAAACATTGGAAACAGTGAACAGAGGTAGGAGATTGTTGTAGGAGTTCAAAGCAGTTTAGCTGTTTTGGTTGGTATGTTATCCAGTGATATCTTTAGCACATACCCTTTTTTCAAGTCTGATGTCTCCACTTTATGACCTGTGGATAGATGGAGTCAGGAGGAAGAGTTCTGCACTAAGAAGTGATAGAACAGGATTCTAGTTCCTACTTCCCTACTTTCTAAATTCATGATCATGGATAAATACTTAATTTTTCCTGGGCATCAGTCACTTTAACTATAAAATGAGGAAGTAATGATCTGAAAGACTAGATCATTTTTTGGTGTCCTTACTATTTTCATATTAGTTATAGACTGAACAGTGAGTGGTGCTATATTTTGTTACCTAATATTAATTCTTGCAACTAGAGTATTTTAAGAAGAAAAAAGGCCCCATAATGATATTTACTATTTCCAAACTTACAAAGTTTAGTATTATGTGCATTGACTGCTATATTTTAAAACATGTATTCCTGTTTTAATATGTGCTATTATCAGGTATGTAATTTTTTTAGTATTATTAGACTGTAATAGTACCCAAGTTGACAGACAAAACTTCAATCTGGGATACTTTTAGAGAAACTTGAAGAACATAAAACTTCTGAAAGATAATGTGTTTTATAAAGCTAAAGGAGCAATAATACTAACATTGTTTAGTTAACATTACTAGAAATCATAATTTCTACCTTATTTTGCTACTGAATACACTATATGTATATTTACATTCACACATAGGTTTTTGCTTAGAAGGTTTTAATACCAGCGGCATTTGGGGTTCTCTTTTTCTTTTTTCTCTCTTTTTTGTTTCTCCTTTCTTTGCTGTTTTCCCTTCTGTTTGGTTATTTCTTGCCCTCCTCCCTCCCCTCTTTTAATCCATCTGGAAAAATGAAGAGGCAACTGCTATGGTAATTGCATTTTGGTTAATGAATAACAGACTAACAAGATACATAAAACATACACATACTGAACAGAGTTAGTTGCCATCAAAGCTGTAGGGGTATAATACTTTTCCTTCTTCCCACCTTCTAAAATAAAACACTTTAATTTTCCTGTGGTATTTTGTTTTCTAATATACCATTCCTAATACTGAAATGCTAACATGAACTATTTCTTTTTTTGTGTAGTCAGCACAATATTTCACCCTGTGGTGAATTTATGGGAGATTAGTTGAGATGCATAGAGGAAAAGAACTGATTAATTGGGTTAAGAAGTGGATTTCCTTTATACTCATACATAGAACAGAACAAAAAGTTTTACTAAATATTTAGTTTTTGACCTATAACCTTTTCCCCTTGTTTTTTGGCAATTAGTGCCCCTTTTGAGTCTCTCTCTGGGGTTAGAACTAATATGTAGTATTTTCTTGAAGATGTTTCTATCATAAAGGGCAGCTACAACTGGAATATTGTATTCAGCCAAGCCTTGAAAATTCCTGTAATCTGTACCATCCTGTCTCATACTGTCCCATCTCATAGTTGTCCTCTCTCTGCAGTGCTCTATGCCCAGGTCTCTGTGGCTGGGCTGCTCCAGCCTGGCGGACAGCATGCCTTCGCTGCGATGCCTGTATAACCCTGGGACTGGCGCACTCACAGCTTTCCAGGTACTTTCTCTGTCTCTGTGGGTTATTTGCGGGCTTTAGTGTGTGTGTCTAAGTCATGAGTGTGTCCCTCCTTTTCCATGCTTTATACTTATGTTCACCTTTCTCCTTCATATTGTCTGTATTTCATGTCATTCAGTACTCCTTTAATGATTAATTTCTGATGTAGATCCAGACTGGTCCACTCTTAAGACATTTTTATTATAATGATTGGTTTGTCAAAATTGACATAGCACAACTTGACTATTGGTTTTTATATCTAGTAGAAGTATGATAGTGAGTTTTACAGTAATCTCAACAAATAGCAATCAATATGTAATGTTTGCTCTGGACCTACATAAAGACAATTAATGTAATTAATCACTTACAGCCAGTTTCTCAAATACCTTATGTTTTTCTTATGATTACTAAAAATATAAAGTGCTCTGTCAGAGTGGCTCCTGGCTACTATACTACTGTATATATGTATGCACACACATATTTTTTTTGTAAGAACTGTGTTTATTTATATCTTAGCAGGTCTGGTTTCAAGGTAAAAAGGCCTTTAAGACCTTTGAGTACAGTATTCAGCTTGAGACAGTCAGACTGATTATGCATGGACCAACAGATTCTAGTTCTCTTCAGCTTTTCTTAGAGGCCATTAGGACATTTCTAGGATATGAGAGAAAACTATAGAGAAAGAGATTGGGAAAATTTGTAGAGTAAAAAAGAAGAGCTTGGTGCCCCATTGTTTATAGATTAATGTACCATATTTGGTGATTTTCTTCGCAAAAGTATTATCTGTCTACCTCAAGTATTTGGAATTTTGTTTAGCATTTGATAGTAATCGACAACAAATTAGTTTTTTTGTTTGTTTTTAACCTATGTAGGTTATGTTTTTAACCTATGTAGGTTAATGTACCATATTTGGTGATTTTCTTCGCAAAAGTATTATCTGTCTACCTCAAGTATTTGGAATTTTGTTTAGCATTTGATAGTAATCGACAACAAATTAGTTTTTTTGTTTGTTTTTAACCTATGTAGGTTATGTTTTTAGGAGAATTTCAAAGACAAGCTTAAGTAAGCATCAGAATGCTTATGACTAAGTCTTAGTTTAAAAAGGGGAGCATAGGTATTCCACATTCCTGAACAGTGCTAATAGTTGCCAGTCTTTAATGATACTATTTTAGTGGCGATAATGCTGGATGTTTTTAATTGTCCTTTGCAAAATATAATATAAAACTTCCTTTGCTTGTCTTACAAGGTACAATATAGTAAAGTGTATAGACTTTAAAATTAGTTAAATTAGGGCTTACATACTGTCTGTCACTAGTGGTATGATCTTGAGCAAGTCGTTTAATCCTCATGTTCCTCATCTGTAAATGGATACTATAGTAAGGACAAGCAGTAAATTGTTGCTGCTTTTATCTTCATCTTCGTCATCATTAGCATTATTGCTATTATAGTTAGAGAATATTGATAACCTGAGAATATCAATTTGTTTCAAATATCTTATATTTTTTTACATTGTTTTATATTGATAAAGTTTCTGCTCTCAAGGAATTCATAGTCATAGTTTATTAATTTTTATCCTTTTTTTGTTGTTGCAATGACTTTAACCAAATTCCTGTCTGCGAGAATAGTTCCTATAAGACTGCCCTCACTTCAGACACTAGTTGCCAAGTTTAGGAGCCCCCACTACCACCGTTAGGTTTGATAATTCACCAGAAAAGACTCACAGAACTCACTGAAAGCTATTATATTCATGTTTTATTACAGGAAGGAGATACAGGTTAAAATTAGCCAAAGGAGGAGACATATAGGCAGCATCTGGAGGGGTCCAAATGTAGAACTTTCTGTCATCCTCTCACTAGGGAGTCGTGGATGGCATTACTGCTTTCAGGCCACAGTATGTGACAATACATAGGATATTGCCAACCGGGGAAACTCACCCAAGCCTTTGGTGTTCAGTGTTTTTATTTGAACGCAATTACAAACTACCCACATACTGACCTTTAGTCTCTAGCCCCTCCTGTTAGTCCTACTAATGCTTTTTAAAAGTCTCCATTTCCTCTCAGGATTGTAACTACTAAAGTGTGGCACAAAGCCTTCATCATGAATCACCTTTGTCCAGTGGCCAAAGGCCCCAGGCAAACAGAGACATTCCTGTTAGGTAAGAAGTTTAGGGGCCTAGATACCACCTCCCAGTAGCCAAGGTCAAAGGCCAGAACTCTTTTTGGTAAGGTTAATTTTCCACTTACACATAGGTTACAGACTCCTTTGACCATCTGATGATAACTATTGATCTTAGAAAAATACTGCAACACATAGGCAAAATTTTATTTAACAGCTTTATATATAGGATTATTATATTTATATTTTACTATGAGAGAGCTATTAAGTTACATAATCCCAAAAGTAATCTCCCAAACTGATAAATTTATGAAGGAAATGTGCAGGGAGCCGTAAGAATATATAAAAGAGGAACCTGGTTTAACCTGAGGGTGGGAGTAAGGAGGATCAGGTAATCAATGTTTGAGTAGGAATTAATTAGGCAAAAGGGAGGAGGGAGGGACATTTCAGGCCCAAGGAAGAGGCAGTGCAAAGGCCCTGTGAACAGGTGGAGGTTGGTGCATTTAAGGATGCTACTGAAAAAAGACTGTTGTGTCAGAGAATGAGGAGAATGGAGAATCTTGATCATGCAGGATTAGTCTTGATGCTAAGAAGAGTAGTGAGCTGTTGAAAGGATTTAAACACAAGTTTGACCTGTTACTATGCATTTAGATGCAATACTCTAGCTATCATAAGCCTAAGCAATGGAAGAGAGTGGTGATGGCAGTTTTGTTTGGTCTCAGGTTTCCTTTGCATTCTTAAAATTATTGAGGACCCCAAAGTGCTTTTGTTTATGTTGGTTGTATCTATTGATAGTGACTATACTAAAAATTACAACTGAGAAAAAAAATTAAATATTAATTTATTAATTTGTTTAAAATAGCTATAATAAACCCATTATATGTTCATGCAAATAAAATATTTTTATGAAAAATAACTTTTTTAAAACAAATTAACATTAGCATTGTATTACAATGCTATTTATAAATCTCTTTAATGTCTGGATTAATAAAAGACAGCTGGATTCTCATTTCTGCTTCTGCATTCAGCCTGTTGTGATGTGGTGTCTTGGTTGAAATATATAAAGAATATCCAGCCTCATACAGATATATAGTTTGAAAAGGGAGAGGTTTAATACCCTTTTCTCGTAGTTGTAATTACTGAAAGATTAGTTGCAGTATAAAATCTGAAATCATCTCACTGAAGTTATTTTGCTCTATACATTAAAACGCATTGTTCTCAGTCTTCTCAACAAATCATGCTGGAACAATTGGTCACCTAAGTGCAAAATAATGACCCTCAACTGTTAGGCTATACCATATACAAAAATTAACTTGAGCTGGATCATAGACCTAAATATGAGCTAAGATTATAAAACTAACAGAAAAAAATGAGGGAGGAAAAAATATCATTGTGGCTTTGGATTAGGCAAAAGATTGCTTCACTAAAACACAGAAAACATGAACCTTAAAGAAATCAGTGATAAGTTGGACTTATCACATTTTAAAACTGATTTTCAAAAGACACTATTTAGGAGACAAATAGATAAGGTACTTTTTGGGAGAAGACATTTGTAAAACACATTTCTTATAAAAGACTTGTATTCAGAATATGCATATACGTAACTCTTACAAGACAGCAGTAAGATAAACTACCCAATAAAATAATGGGCAATTAATGGGCAAAAAAAATGGAATGGATACATTACCAAAAAAGATATGCAGATGGAAAATAAGCTTATGAAAGGATGCTCAATATTTTTAGTCATCAAGGAAATGCAAATTAAAACTACAGTGCGATACTACTGCATTACCACCCAATACCTCTTCCAACCCTGGAATGTTGGTATGGGAGTTCAGTACACCCTAGGTAGTTAACACATCCTAGTATAATAATGAGAAATGTGCCAGAACATGCCTTGAAAGCAGAATTCTTACTATTATCCACTCACCTCCACAGTACTCCGCAGAGTGCGTTTTAGTAGTTGGGACTCAATAACTGCTGATGATTTGAACTGTATTAGATAAGTGGTAAAGATAATTTATGCAATTAAAAATTATACAAGTTAACATCATCTAACTTGGAACCAAGATACCAAGAAAAATCCAAAATTTAATTTGGCCTAAAGCAATCTTGAATCTAAGGTCAGTAGGAAAGAATTCTAAACAAATTCACCATCACTGACAGGGTTGTCTCTGTTTGGTTTTTTATTTTTGTTAATCCTCACCAGAGGATGTTTTTTCCATTGCTTTTTCAGAGAGAGTGGAGGGGTGTGTGTGTAGGGAGAGGGAGAGAGAAACATCAGTGTGAGAGAGACACATCAATTGGTTGCCTCCCTCACCCACCCAGACCTGGGCCGGGGATGGAACCTGCAACCCTTTGCTTTACCCACTGGGCAGCACTGGCCAGGGTGTCTCTATTTGCTCTTAAAAGTCAACAAATGTTTATTTTAGCTCTGGCCAGCTTGGCTCAGTGGTTGGAGCTTTGGCCCTCGGACTGGAAGGTCCTGGGTTCGATTCTGGCCAAGGGCACATACCTCGGTTGCAGGCTCAATCCCGGCCCTGGCTGAGTGCAGGAGGCAACCAGTTGATGTGTCTTTCTCGCATCGATGTTGTGTGTGTTTTTTTCCCTCTCTCTCTTCCCCCCCTTCCACTCTCTCTGAAAGAGCAATGAAAAGTTATCCTCAGGTGAGGATAAAAAAACAAAAAACGAACAAATGTTTACTTTAAAAATTTGTTGAGTCCCCTTATAAGTTGCTACTTCTAGAGTATATTTGAAAAGAGGTTGATTTAGAGATTTTACTGGAAAATTCAGGAATATATTTGAGTGTGTGTTCCTTGAATTTTATTGCAGGAGTGAAATTTGTGTGGTACAGGCAGAAAAGAGATGCTTAAGAAACATCTTAGAAAAGAAGCCCAGAGGTCAGTGTATGGTGCAGTGGTTAAGAGCATGGGCCCTGGTACTAGACTGGTTGAGATTTGAGCCGGGCTCTATCTAGGTATGACCTTGGGCAAATACTTGACCTCTCTATACCTCATTTTCCTTATAAGTAAATTGGGGACGATAATAGGATCTCTTATAGAGTTGTTGTTAGGATTAAATTAGTTGATTTATATTAAGTCCTTAGAACAGTGCCTGGCAGATTATTGGGTTTTATATTATTAGACAGTTGTGCAGAAGACTAGGTTTGGAAGCTTTCAGCAAATGCTGTTTTTCACTTTGGTGTAAAAACAGTATCTTATTAAATAAAATCTTACATTTTTCATACCTTACAGCCCAATTCTGTATCATCGGGAAGCCTACTCTTGGTTCAGGTATTGATGAAACATTTTGCTTTTCCCAACATTGCTATAAGTACGAATGTTTATTTTTCTTTTCTTATTTTCAGAGAGATTTGTTATGTAGCAAAAATGGAAGAAATAGGCTTATTTGCTATTTTTATTCTATTGTTCCAAAATTTGTTCTGTGTCAGATTCAGTGTGTTCAGGAACTCAATACTGCTGGTTGACTAATTGGCAGACACAGGATTTAAATCTAGTCTTTCCTGTTTCCACTACTAGAATTACAGCAGTCTTAGTACATTTGCATCTTTCTTGTTTGGGTTTTATTTTTTTATTAGATTTTTGTTTATGTAAAATTTATGTATGTGAAGTATGTGGATCTTAAGTGTACTCTGGATGAGTTTGACAAATGTATACATTTGTGTAATCACATCCTCAAGATATAGAACATTTCCATAATCTGAGAAAAGTTCCTTTGTATCTCCATCCAGTGACTACCCAGTCCCCCATGTGCAATTACTGTTCTGATTTGTCACCAACAATTAGTTTTGCCTGTTCTTGAACTTCACGTAAATGCACTCGTATAGTACACTTTCTTTTGTGTCTGTATTCTTATGCTCAACATAATGTTTTTGAGATTTATCCATTTTGCAGTGTTTATCAGTAATTCCTTCTTATTGTTGAATACCTCTCATTAATATATCACAATTTATCTCTTCATCTCTTCATAGATATTTGGGTTGTTTCCTTTTTTTTTTGTCTACTATGGAAAAAGCTCCTTTATACAATTTGTACAAGTCTTTTTGTGGGCATGTGTTTTTATTTCTCTTGAGTAAATACCTAAGAGTGGAATTGCTGGGTCATAGAGTAAGCATGTTTTTAACTTTAAAAGAGACAGTTAAGTAGGTACCCCAGTAGGAATACTCATTTTTACTAATATTACCAAATTTGTTTGAGGAAGTGACTTAGTAATAGTTTCATGGCATTTTACCCCCCTTGAAATTATTGCATTCCTTTAGTAAATTTGAAGCATTTTATGAAGTCAAAATTCTATGACAATAGAAAAGAAAGAGCCATGCAGTTGTTGAATTTGTTGGATTATCCTCAGTAACTCAGATGGAAATGGCAACATTGGGACAGCTTAACTGATTATTGACATTTCAAACCATACACTTTAAACTAGTGACAGAGAATATACTGAAAATATTGTTTAAATAGATTCTATGAGGACATCTTTAGTTTATACATACTTTCATCATTCCATTGGTTTGTCCTGGAAAGCATATGGGGGTTAAGAGGATTTCTGCTGGTTAACAGTAGATGTATTTTGTGGAACCATTTGCTCATCCTTAGCAAATGATAATTTTTAATTTTTAATTTTTATTTATTTATTTATTTATTTATTTATTTATTTATTTTAATATATCTTTATTGATTTCAGAGAGAGGAAAGGAGAGGGGGAGAGAGAGATAGAAACATCAATGATAAGAGATTCACTGATCGAGCCCGCAACCCGGGCATGTGCTCTGACCGGGAATCGAACCCCAATCACCTGGATCCTAGGTCGATGCTCAACCTCTGAGCCACGCCCGGCTGGGCTATTTTTATTTTTAAAATATGTCTTTATTGATTTCAGAGAGAGGGAGAGAGAGGGAGAGAAAGAGATAGAAACATCAATGATGAGAGAGTCATTGATCGGCTGCCTCCTGCACCCCCTGACTGGGGATTGAGCCCACAACCCGGGCATGTGCCCTGACCGGTAATCAAACCATGATCTGCTGGATCCTAGGTCGATGCTCAACCACTGAGCCATGCCCAGCTGGGCGCAAATGGTGATCTTATAATCTATAATATTAAATAACTGATAAGTAGGGAGAAAGTGTTTAAAAATAACTGAGTAATTAAGATCCTTTATTTTCTTTAGACATTGAAAGGAAAGAGAAATTCTAACAATAAGAAGATAAGTAGATTTATATGATCTTAATATATTTTATGTGTCAAGTATAGCTAGTACTTTTAGGGAAATCTTGAGCTAAATGAACCATATAGTATTTTAATATTAATTAGGGTCCCTTGGCAAAGGTTGAAGTTATTGAAGGTACACATCAGGAGACATAATGTGTTTTATTGTTCAAGAACATTTAGAAGTCTACTAAATCTTCAAATCTAAGTAAAATGTTAAAATAGAACAATACTAGGACAAGTAAGTATTGTTCAGAATATATGTATGTTTGTACGTAAGGCTTCACTTTATATTTGAGGTTTTAGGGGAATATGGATTATCCAATTGAGTGTAAATTAACATTTAAATCTTATTACAAAACAATACTATAAGGAAAATTACCCCATGACAAAAACACATTTCAGGCCCTAGCTGATAAGCACCCCTGTTGTGTATGAATAATCACCGCACAGCACAATTTCTGCGTAAAAATTCATTTCTTTTTTTATACATATGTTGACATTTGACCTATGTTTATCCCACCTACACCCCTTACATTAGGAGTTTGAATATATAAAATGTTTTTGTTTTATGGGGGGAAAACCCACATTTTCTCCTGCATATAAAACTGTTTATTATGAAATATGTAAATTTTTTGGTAAATATATAAACAAAAAAAGTATCACCCATAATCCTTTCACTTTAAGGCAATTATCAGTATGTTAGTTTCCTTCGGTCTGGAATGACTTATCCATCCATGCATACACGTACACACAGAGACATACCCAGATAAATATAGTTTTGTTTTAAAATATTTTTGTTATTACCATTTTCTTAAAAAATACAAAAATTAAACATTTAATATTAATTGTAGAAAATACAGAAAAGTAGAAAGAAGAAAGGAAATATTTTAAATGCCATTCCAGTCATTACTGCTTTATTGGTACTAATATTTTTTTAATTTCAGCTATAGTAGTGCCCCGTTGTCTTTGGTTTTACTTTCCATGGTTTTAGTTACCCTCAGTCAACTGCCGTCTGAAAATATTAATGGAAAATTCCAAATATTTTGAGAGACAGACTACATTCACATAACTTTTATTACAGTATATTGTTATAATTGTCCTATTTTATTGTTAGTTATTGTTGTTAATCTCTTACTGTGCCTAACATAAACTTTATCACAGTTATGTATGTATAGGGAAAACATAATATATATAGGGTTTGGCACTATCTGCAGTTTCAGGCATCCACTGGGGTTTTGGAACATACGTATCCCCTGTGGATAAGGGAGGACTACTGTATATTCTTGTCCAAATTCATTTGTTGGCTGGTTGCATTGATTTTGGTCACTCTTTATCTCATGGCTAGTTGCTCACATGTTTGTAAATTGAATAAAGTTTGAACTTGGTTTACCACTCATGTAATTGAGTGGCTTACTACCACTCCCCTCTCATGTAATTCTTAGCCATTTCAGATTTACAGTTCTCCTAAGGTGCTGTGTTCTCTCATGCATCTGTGTCTTTGCATATCCTGTTCTTCCTACCTGGAGAACCCTGCTAAAAACATATCCTCCCACCCACTCTGCCTCCCACATTTATCTGCCTGGCTAATTCTTATTATCTCCACGATTCAGCTCAAGTTGTTTTACCTGGAGAATAAAAGTCCTCACTGATCTTTTCACTTTCCTTCTTAACCTAGTCAGAGCATCTGTACCCAGGGCATGTAATAGATACCTTTGTAACAGCACTGATAGCTATTGTAATCATTCCCTCACCAGACTGTGCGTTCCTTGAGAGTAGAACTGTATTTTCGTCATTTTATGTTTCCAGTGTCAAGTATAGTGCTTTATACAGAGTATGTGTTTTATGAATTCTTGCTGAGTAAATGAATGGACTTAGATAATTTGAAGAAAACCATAACATATGGGGTGGGAGGAGAGAAAACATTGGATTGTGGGTGGTACTTGCACATACATACACAAAAATGATCTGTATCAGAGATAAGTCATACTTAAATAATGATTCCAAAATCCACACATTTACATGGAAAAAAGGAAAACATGCTGAGTCTGATTTTATGGGTAGTCTTCAAATTTTATACATTTGGTTTACATGCATTTCACACCATGATGATCCCCTGTGAATTGGATTTTGTATCCTGAATTTGGACTCTTGTCGATGAACAAATGCACATTTCAATCTATTAAATAGTGGTACTGCAAGGCAGCTAACAGTTCAGTTTCAATTATGTCAACCTCTTTATCTTCACAGCAGTGTATGTTTCTGCAATTATTTGACTATTTTTTTGCATTTTTCCCTTATTCCATAAAAGGATAGATACTGGGAATATTAAAATGATGATAGTAGCTTGGCTGGGTGTGGCTCAGCGATTGAGCATTGACCTAGGATCTAGGAGATCGTGGTTCGATTCCCTGTCAATGCACGTACCCAGGTTGTGGGCTGGATCCCCAGTCGGGGGCGTGCAGGAGGCAGCCGATCAATGACAACTCTCTTATCATTGACATTTCTCTCTCTCTCTCCCTCTCCCTTCCTCTCTCTGAAATCAATAAAGATATATTTAAAATTAAAAAATTATGATAGTAGAGATAAACAACACTATAGAGAAAAGACGGAAATCATTGGGCATACTGAAAGTGACCCTTTAGTTTTGATTAGGTGCAAAATTAAAGTATGTGTGCAAAATGTTGGGAACATATTATTGAAGACTGCTTCTTAAAGAAATTATAATTATGGATTTCTAAATGTCTCAACTAACATTGAAATTTATTGTTCAGCTTGTAGCCTTTCAACTTTTATGTATATTTCACCAAGAAAAGTAGAGATGACGTGAATTTGGTAAATTATCCTGGAAATACAATGGTCTGTCTTGGAGAAATGACATCATTTGGACTTATTTGTGTTTTAAGATGCCTACTTGGTTATTTAAATACTCTTTATTTCTTGAGTTTTGTAATAATAGATTCCTCTATTGAGTATTTTGACATGTCTGTGATGCAGGTAATGTTTATTTATAGGCTTAATGTGCAACATTATCTAATGTTAATAGAGTAAACCAGATCATCTTAATGTGA